AAAAAAAAAAAAAAGATAAGAAGTCCTCTGGGGAAAGAGTATGAGGTGAGGGAGGCTGAGACTACTGTATGTTGGAGGTAGGGCATGTTAGTGGATTAAATAGGGTCTAAGACTAGGCCTTATTGGGCAGGTAAGATTTGGGCAAGATTTGAAAGAGGCGAGGGAGGCAGCTGGGGGAGTGCCAGGGAAGGGCTTTCAGGCAGGGGGACAGCCAGAACAGAGCACCTAAGGCGAGAGTGTGCCTGGCTCTTTGACCTCCTGATCCTCTCCAGTGATTGATTTGCCTTGGAACTGGAGTCCATTTGGAGGCTGGGACACCCCCAGCCCTGTTCCTAGAAACAGGTAAGCCTCAGGCCAGGAGTCCTTTCTTGCTTCCACTACCTTACATACACATATTCCAGAAAGTTTTCATAGTAGTGGCTCTTGTAACTTGCACACCCTTAGCAGCTGCTCTGCTTGAAGGAGCCTGAGGCAGCCATAGGGCAGCTGGGAATTCAGCCCCCGAATACAGGTAGGATGTGGGAGGAATTCTGTGGGCTGTGCGGGAACCAGGGCTTAAAATGCCCCTGTTCCTAGCACTAGTTGGGACCTTTGCCTATCTGTGTAACCTTAAGATATCCTGTTCTCTGCCAGGGCACAAGGCCCCCAGACTGGAGGAAGGTGAGGCTCCCTGCAGAGGCAGCCAGATGTGCATGCCACAGAAGGCTGAGCCTGTGGGCTCCTGCCCGGGTAAGTCTTCCCAGCATTTCATCCTACCATGGTGTCAGGGCAAGCAAACACAGGCCCTGTCATCTCCAGACTGCTATCTGAGTGAGGTGGACTGTCCCAGAGACAGCAATTCCAGGCCATTCCATCCCAAGATGAGTTAGGTAACAGCATCTCTTTGCTCTAGAGCTTCAGTGCCCAAGGGAATTTCACATCTGTAGGCAGCAGAATGAGAAAGGATGGTCACCAAAAAGACTGTCACCTCAGACACCTTCTAGAAGTCCTAATTTCCCCTCCTTGTCTCCCCCAATCTAAGTAAATGCTTGCTGGCCACCTCAGTTACAACTACTTGAAGATACATGGCTTTGATCAGCCTTTTCACTGTGTCACCCAAGCAAACTTCCTCTCCCAGACCTCCATGACCCAAATGCTCCAAATCTGCTGTATTCAACTCATCTCCCCTGTACCTAGGGTGACCAGACAGTTGATTGTCTCTCCACAATCCCATCTCCCTTTTCCTTCCACTGTCACCATTCTTCTCACTTCTTGCCTGAGTGACTTCATCTATTCCATAAGGATTTATTTAGTGTTTCTTATGTACAGGCTGTGTTAGCTGTTATGGAAAAGAATGGGTTGTGTTACCCAGACCTGGTTTGATTCCTTGCTGTGCATTTACTAGCTGAGTGCTCCTGGATGGGCCACCCTGCTTCCAGGAGCTTCAGTTTGTTCATCTGGCAAAACAGTAATTTCATTGTCATTGTGAAGGTTTGTGGCAGTGTATGCACAGTGCTTCATCTGTAGTTTGCCCTCAAAAAGTGGTGGCAGTCCTCATTTTTGCTAGATGCATAAAGACTAATGGACCCAAAAGAAACAGAACACACAATATATGCCCTCTGGAAGCTAAAATCTATTTGAGATGATGTTAATATAAACAAAAGAACAGTCTGAAGGCAAGTTATGAGTAAGTGTGAAAGTGTTAACTGTCAATACTGTAGGAGTTAGTACTAAGAGATCTGTATGCATTACATTTGTTAGAAATGTTAATTTGTGCTGCCTTTTGAGAGAGGTGTAGACTTCAGCTCTGAAAGGTGAGGTGGAGGATAGGAAGATGTGCTAGGCTGGGAAAAGACCTTAAGAAGCAAGAAGAGGGACGTGGTTGGAGGGGAGCAGCTTGGCTGAAGTGAAGGGTTCCTGCCTGGGAGAATAAGAAAGTTGGACCAGGAGGAGGTAAGCCTCAGAAGCAGCTAGAACTTATTTTATCTCCCAAATAACTGAGAACTATTGGTGGTTCTTGAGTAGACAAGTGAAGAATGTGACAATGAAAAAGAAGTCAAATCTTCAGTATGATAAGGTTTGATGGAAGAAACTGGGAGTAGATCTCATTGTGGCAGCTCAGGCTGTTACCGACCTTTAGGGCCAAACAGGAACTCATATCATTTGGTTCAATGGTTCTCAAACAAGAATCACTTTGGGAGCTTTAAAGGAAGAGAACAGATTCAAGGGCCCTGCCCCATACATGCTTTCACACTTAAACAAACTAAGAAACTTAGCTCAAAGAGGTTAAGTGACTTAGCCAAGGTCATACTGTTGGTTAGTGGCAGAGGAGAACCCAGGTGAACACTCCTTATCTCCTTCTTCTTGGCTGGGCCATTGCAGCATCCAAGAGGGACAAAGGTGGCCAGCTCTGGCCAGCTCTGGGCTGATGCTCCTGTTCTGGCAGAGGGCTCTCCCTGCTTCTTCAGTGGCAGTTGTTCACTAGTTCTGCAAGTCCCATAAACTCCACCCGCCTCTTCCTAAAACAGGATTTCCAGCTGGGCAGGAATGTTGGGGAGTAGTTGAAATAAAACAGCACCTGGTACTCCAGCCACTGAAAGGGGAGCAGAGAGCAAGGGAAGCAGCCTAGCTGTGATGTCAAGGTTCCAGCACCATCCAGTTGGAAGGAGGAGGCTTAAGGTTAAAGTCAGGCAAGGGTAGGTTTGGGAAGGCCAGGTGCTTGGTTATGAACCGGCTGGGTAGCAGCTAATGTGAAGGATATCCCAGGGAAACTGCTCAACTGAGGACGAGGGACTGTGGTTCTGGAATGGAGCCTACAGGAACAGGAAGATCTGGGGTGGCCACTGAAGGTCTGTGAACTCAGAGTGAAGCATGAAGATAGCATTTCTATTCAGGGGACACAAGAGGAAGCCTTACCTAGTAAAGAGGTTCCTTGGCAACATAGCAAGCCTGAAAGGAAGCCACCAGGACGGGGTGGAGCTCACATGTGAGTGCAGGAGGACTAAGAGAAGAGCTTGGGATTTGGTCATTCCTAGGAACCTTTGAGTAGGGTGGAGAGCGCAGACGTCAGATCACAGGGCTCCAGGAGGTGGCGTTCCATTGACAAATACCGTAGTGGTGCACCGGGCTTGCCAGACAATTCTTGTTTTGACTTTTCAGGGGATGAGTGGATGATTCGGAAGGTGAAGGTGGAGGATGAAGACCAGGAGGCAGAAGAGGAGGTAGAATGGCCCCAGCATCTATCGTTACTTCCCAGCCCGTTCCCTGCGCCTGACCTGGGGCATCTGGCCGCTGCTTACAAACTTGAGCCAGGAGTCCCGGGAGCACTGAGTGGGGTTGCACTGTCGGGGTGGGCCCCTATCCCGGAGAAGCCCTATGGTTGCGGGGAGTGCGAGCGGCGCTTCCGGGACCAGCTGACTTTGCGACTGCACCAGAGGCTGCACCGGGGCGAGGGTCCCTGCGCCTGCCCGGACTGCGGCCGCAGCTTCACGCAGCGCGCGCACATGCTGCTGCACCAGCGCAGCCACCGAGGTGAGCGGCCTTTCCCATGCTCCGAGTGCGACAAGCGCTTCAGCAAGAAGGCCCACTTGACCCGCCACCTGCGCACGCACACGGGCGAGCGGCCCTACCCGTGCGCAGAGTGCGGCAAGCGCTTCAGCCAGAAGATACACCTGGGCTCCCACCAGAAGACCCACACCGGTGAGCGCCCCTTCCCCTGCACGGAGTGCGAGAAGCGCTTTCGCAAGAAGACACACTTGATCCGGCACCAGCGCATCCACACAGGAGAGAGGCCCTACCAGTGCGGGCAGTGCGCTCGCAGCTTCACGCACAAGCAGCACTTGGTGCGGCACCAAAGGGTGCACGAGGCTGCCAGCCAGTCCCGGCCCTCTCCAGACGCGCCGGCCTCGCCCTATTCCTCCGCTCCGTCGCCCACCCCGTCCCCTCCTGGGCCAAAACCTTTCTCCTGCTCCGACTGCGGCTTGAGTTTCGGCTGGAAAAAGAACCTCGCGACGCACCAGCGACTGCACCGCAGCGAGGATCGCCCCTTTGGATGCGAACAGTGCGCATTGGTCGCCAGCGTGGATCCCTCCGCAGCAGAGCCCTTGGCCTGCGCGTCCGGAGGGCCAGGCTGCGGTACTGGTACGGGTCCGGCGGCGCCCCAGCACACCCCGTCGGGCGAGCGGTGCTTCTTCTGCCCGGATTGCGGGCGCGGATTCTCCCACGGGCAACACCTGACGCGGCACCGGCGCGTGCACACGGGCGAACGGCCCTTTGCCTGCGCGCAGTGTGGCCGCCGTTTCGGCTCGCGGCCTAATCTGGTCGCCCACTCCCGGGCCCACAGCGGTGCCAGGCCTTTCGTCTGTGCTCAGTGCGGCCGCCGCTTCAGCCGCAAGTCTCACCTGGGGCGCCACCAGGCGGTGCACACGGGCAGTCGCCCGCACGCCTGCACCGTCTGCGCCCGTAGCTTTAGCTCCAAAACCAACCTGGTCCGCCACCAGGCCATCCACACAGGCTCCCGCCCCTTCTCCTGCCCGCAGTGCGGGAAGAGCTTCAGCCGCAAGACGCATCTGGTGCGGCACCAGCGCGTCCACGGCGAAGCTGCCCACACGACCTCAGACGCTGCACTCTCGACCCCAGCTTGGCCCATTCCCACCCAGGGGGCGCCGCCCCCGCTCTTCTTCTGAGTCTCCTCGCCAGGACCCGTCCTCCCCTTACCAGATTCCTAGGGACCGGTGCCACTGGACCTCCTGGGCGGTGGGCCCAGGCTGCTGCGGGCCATTTTCCTTCCCTCAGGAGTCGGAAGAGCATACCCATCTCTGACGTTCCCGGAAAACAGGACGACACAACGCGCAGAGTGAATTCTTGCTGGGAACAGGTCAGCTTGAAGTCTTTGGAAGACACCCAGCCATATGTCCTACCTGAAACCAAGCATTCCCCAGACCTCAAGTGGCCAAAGACAGGCTGGGGCAGGGACCTGTGGCGGGTTGGAAAGAGTGGTTATCCATGTACTGAAAGTTTCATTAAAAAACACCAGTGGTTCTGGGGCTGTTAAGTGAGCTGGGAGTGGGGAACGTCTGGTTCCCTTTAGCCCCTGTGCCATCTCCATACACACACACACACACACACACACCCTTCTCTTTCTGTCCTGGGTGAGTAAACTTAGTCAGCTGCTATTGGCTGACTCTTCCCAGTCAAAGTGTGGTATATTTAATAGCCAAACCATTATCCTGGTTCCTGCTTCTAGCTTAGAAATTTGACAAGGAAGAAACACAGTGGTATTTCTCTTGTGCTGGGTGAAAAAGATGGGCTGAAGTGTGGTCAGGCTGCCATTTGGCCATTCCCCTGGGATTGGCCAGGCTACTGTGGGCTGCAGAGATCTGTACTCCTGCCTCTGCAGTTCTCCCAAGGGGACTGGGAATGGAGCCTGACCCACCATCACTGGAAGGAATTAGCACATTAACAGCCAATGCATGTTGTTTTCACATCCACTGCCCAGCAAGTTCTCTCTTCAGGGCTGTTCAGTCCAGAAGTATCTGCGAGTGCACTCCCCAACCCAGGCAGGTATGAATGCAGGGGCTGGTTGGCAGAGAAGGGGAGCAGAAGGTAATGGCCAGCACACTGGCCTGGAGCAAGCTGTCTTAGATGTGCCCTTTCCTCTACCTCATGTGGGACTTAGAGCACAAAGTTCCTTTCCCAGTGAGAGGATATGAAAGGCCTGAGAGATAGGAAGGCCTTTTACACCTTTGAAGGAGTTTAGACCATGGCGTGGGTTTGGGGGGAGGGACAGGGCCATGTTTATATTTCATGCATTTTGGAAAGATGTCTGTCTGCACATCAGCCATCTCGTTGACAGGTGGTGGTGACATGGAATCATGGTAGTGTCAGAGAAGATGAGAGTGATAGATTTAGGAGACACTTAATAGAACCTGTTGACTAGTTGTGGGGCGTGTGGATATGGAGTGGGGGAAAAGGCTGAGGTTGGCCTGGTTTCTGCTTGAGTACTGACTAGATGACAGTGACATTCCCCACAAGGTGACACAGGAAGAGCAGCTGTATGCTAGTGGCTAAGTCTGGGATATGCTGAGTCGGTGTGACGACTGTGTGACCAGGAGGAAGCAGGCTGTATGGGCAGAGAGCTCAAAAGAGGGATGGGCTGGAGACAGATGTGAGCACCGCTGACATGTGTTTCAGGAACTATGAAGGAATGGATGATATTCCCAAAGAAGAGAGTGTGGAGTGAGCAAAGAGAGGGCCTCGGACAGAACCCTTAGAACACCAGCATTTGGGGATGCCACAGAGAAGCCTGTCAAGAAGGCAGGAGAGTAGGGGGTGCAGGGAATGGACAGGAAAACCCTGAAGAGGCAACAAAGGGGCAAGGGACAGATAGCACTTTAGGAGGGAAGTTGCAGCTGAGGCTAGGGAGGTCACAGAAGCTTAGGACTTCTAGGTCCTTTGGATTCTGAAGCAAGGCCGAGAGAGCAGTACCAGGGGCGGTTGGGGCAGAATTCAGATCGCAGTGAGGACTCACAGACGCAAAGTCCTGGAGAAGGTAGAAGACGACAGATGTAGGTGTGGGATGGACATTGACTAGAAAGACCCTTTCACTGTGAGGTCAGGGGAGGTGTAAATGCAGGTGACTTTTTAAGTTTCATGGCCAAGAATGGGGCGATTCCAGGTTAATGTTGCAAGTGTGCTTACAGAACAGGAGCTATTTTGTTTGTCCTTCCCCTACCCCCTCAATATCTTCCCCCTTTCAATATCTGGAAATTCCACATGAAAATCTGGATGTCCAGCTTCTCTTGTGAAAACTTGGAAGATGTGGCTGCTGGTGGCTGGAGGTGAGCAGAAGTTGGCCTCTTTGGACTATGAGATGGGAGCCCTCACTATGCCCCATTGTAGGCTCAGCTTCTGAAGTTACCTACGGGGTCTCTTAGGCACACAGCTTGTGACTCCAGCCAAGGAAAGTAAAATACTCCCACAGACGTTTACAATCAAACACATAAAAACAATGTTTGTGTTGGGTATACCAATGTTTTTCTTTCTCGAAACATTCTGGAATTCTTGTGTAAGAGCAGCTTTTAGATCCTACAGCATATTTGATGAGGCCTCTATGTGCCAGACATTTTTAGGATTTCACATTCTCTTGAAGCTTCCCTACAAGGCATATCTTTGTCCTTATTTTTAAGCTTGTTTGCAAACTGTCAAAAGTCATTTAGCATGCAGCCTGGTAGTAACCACTTCTGAAGACGTCTGCTCAAGAAGTGCAACATGTCTGCAGTGAAAGATGGGGGTTCTTTCCCACTCAAAAGCAGGGGGCTCACTGGGATCAGTGTGTGCCATCCAGGTGTGACTATCTTGGTAAAGCATCAAAATTTGTACTTTTAGAACCACATCCCAGCATGTGAAAATGGTCTGAGAATTAAAGCACAGATTTACTCTTTCTAAATGTAGAAATGTTTCACAAATTAGGTAAAATTTAATTTATATTCCCCCAAACTTGTTCCAAAAGAAGATTTAGTGTAGAATACCCTGTATGTGCCCAGAATTCGCCAGTCCTGGTGAACAGCACAGTTGTCTAGACACACAAGCTATCCATGAGGAACCTGCAATCTGACCGGAGATGAGCTGTTGGTGTCTGTGGATCAGAGAATGTCAGTGATGAATGGCATTCTGTGGACTCTAAAGACATGAGAGGACAGAGATGGCTTTGCGGGGGGGGGGGGGGTGGAGGGAGGGGCAGACAGGGTTGGATTTGTGGGTGGCATGGGAGGGGGAGAGAGAAGGAGCCAACCTCCCCTTCTCCCCTCACACTTCGCTCCCAGTTCTCTGTCCTTTTTACTCTCATCTGTTCCCCAGGTCAGTGACCCATCCTCCTTTCCTAATCTCCATGAAATCCATGCTTCCCAATCTTTAAACAAATTTTTTTATTGTAGTGAAATATATATAACATGAAATTTACCATTTGAATTTTTTTTTTTTTTTTTGGCAGTTTTTGGCTGGGGCTGGGCTTGAAGTGCTAGCCACCTCCAGCACTTGGGGCTGGCGCCCTACTCCTTTGAGCCACAGGCACCGCCCTATTTGAATTATTTTTTAAGAGTATAATTCAGTGGCATTAAGCACATCAACAATGTTGTGTCACCATCACCACTACTTGCAGGACTTTTTCATTATCCCCAATAGAAACTCTGCTCCTAATCTTATAATGTGCTGGCACCTTTTGATAGAACAATATTAGGGTCTTCCTGTGACCCAATGGCTGAGAAAGTGATCTCCCTGTCCTATAACTCCCAACAGGTTGCAGCACTCTGTTCCTTCCCACAGACCCATATACTTGCTTGTGAGGGAGATGGGGCAAATCCACTTATCACTAAAATGATAATATCCAACAAGCTCCCTGGATTGTGGGAGTGAACGGGAGAAACCTCAAGGAGACCTGAACCCCCTAGGCTTCAACCTAGCGATACCTAAGTTTTTCTTCAGGTCTTAATCTTTTCTAGAGTCCTCAGTTCTCTATACCCCACCTCTAGCAGAATTCAAAAGGATGAGCTCGGGGACAGATACTGCATTGCTATCATTGTCCAGAATATTGGGTGGCCATAGACTCAAATGATCTTGACACATAAGAGCAAAGGACGTGATCATCCACTGGCAGCCTCAAGGCCACATGTGGCCTTCCAGATCCCTAAGTGTGGCCCCTCAACTGAATCCAGACTTCACAGAACAAATCCCGTTAGTAAAGGATTTGTTTTATAGAACTTGGCTCAGTCATCGCTTCTCGGCCTTTTGGCTAAAATCAAGTGTAGAATTTGGATCAGTCAAAAGGCCACCCTCAAAGATCTAGAAGACCACGTGTGGCTCCAAGGCTGAAGGTTCTCTACCCCTTCCTGCATCCTCCCCCTACTGCTAACCTGTTAGTCTTTTAAACACCGACTGGTCAAGATGCCTGAGACCTGTGGGACCTTAAATGGAACCCAGCCCACAGCCATTTTGAGAACTGATGGGGACCCACTGACCCTCTGTCTTGCTGGGAGGAGATGCTGCCCTCCTGCTGAAGAGGGTAGGAACCCAGAGAGCAGGGCAGCAGTCAGCCGTGTTTCTCACCTGCTTCCTGGACATCAAGGCTTAGCTGGCTCCTTGGGCCATGAACACTAACTAACTGATGCCCAAGTTCCCAAGTTGCTACTGCTTTTTCAATTTGGTCAGAGAATGGGCCAGTGTGGTGCATTTTAAATAAACTGCACAGGCAGTGTGTTGGTTGGTGTTGGAAGAGACTCAGGTGCTTAGACTGCTCCTCCTTTCCAAGCTTGGGGAACTAAATCAGTGACCAACAGGGACTCTGGCCTGGTGGACCCAAAGCAAAGTGAAGTGAGTGGATGAAGTCATTCCAGCTTTAGTGCCATGTGCCCATCACATGATTGGTAGGACATGAGACTCTTCCACTCACCACTGCTTTACCTCCCACAGCTGCTGCTTCTGTCTGCAGGGTTGGACAAGAGCTGCCAGTGAGAGGGATCTGCTGAGGATGCCTGTGAATTTTGAGTTGGAAGAAATCCTCTGTTCCTCAGGATTGCCTGACTTCAGCAGGAAAGGGGGCTCTGGGATTTAATCCCCTGCCCATAAAGACTAGCTGAGCTTTAAAATCTAGCCAGCCTTGTGCAAACATTGTAGGAAACAAAAGCTCTTGACCTTGTGGCATTTATAGTTCAGCTATGGGTCACTCATTGGCCCTGAGTGTGGGGTGCTCTGGGAGACTCTGGGGAAGTAAAATCCATAGTCCCTGAGTCAGAGACTGTGACTTGGCTGGAAGCTCACGATAGGCCTAGAAACCAACAAGGGTTTTGTATTCTACTCTTTGGGGTATTGAGTGCTCCAAGAGCGCAAAGAAATGGAGGGTGTGGGCTGGAGTAGTCAGGGCCGCTTTCTGGAGGGAGGAGGGTCTGGGTGAGTCTTGAGGGGAGCAAGGACTAGAAAAGACAAAGAGGAGGTGGAGGAACAAGCAATTGGTGCAAGACAACAACACACGTGTAATTACATGTTCAACTGTGTGATTGATCACTTGGGGCCTCAGGAGGCTAGCTCTTTGCAAGGCCAAGTTAGAGATAAGAAGGGTCATCTTCCTCGGTGTTGGTGCAGAGAAATCTCACCTCTGTGGAGCTCCC